TATACATATATATAAATTTATATATATCATTTTCATCTAAAACTATATGATTTATTGATCAATTATTTAACTGTATCTGTATAAAATACGAAGATAGTTCACAATGTTAATCTCTGATAAATAATTTTGATTGTCAAAAGTGAATTATTTCAAGCATTTTTAAAAATTTTCAAATTATTTACTATATAAAAACGCGATAAATTTTTAGATCAGGGGACTTCCCACTCCCATTGACTCCCTAGACCTTGACATATATTGTGACCTCCAACAAGTTTTAGCCTCACTCATCTTTCGTTAAAAAGTTATTAATAACAGAAGTTTCAAAAATAACATATTATTTCTGCTATACATATACGATATTAAGTACTATTCTATATCTTCTTTTGCTTAAAAATATTCGACTTTCCATGCGAAGCGACTCTCACCCCTCTTCCCCCGTTAAGTCATTCATTATCAGTTAAAGAGTTATTATTAATAAAATAAGTTTGAAAAATAATATTTTATTCTGCTATGAATAACATATAACGTGTAATTTTCGATGGAATACATGGTACATAAGTTAGGTTATTATATACTCATTAAATGATGTATCATCAAATAATGAATAAAATGTAATACTGATTATATTTTCCGCGAATATACAGGATGTCTCAAATCACTTGTACACCCTCTCGGAAATAGAGTATTTTAGAAAAAAACATTTCAGATAAAAGTTGTGGGGTTCTAAACGATCTATTTAGTGATCTGACCTTGATCTGACCTGAACAGTCTGACCTTGAGCGTCACCAAGGTCAAAACAATGTCACTTCGAATTTTTTAAATGGAACCTCCTATTGTCATGACCTTGGTACATATGTGTCACATAATATTTAATGCTGTGTATATGTATAGTAGAAATAAAACATTATTTTTTCAAACTTATTATTAAAGCAGGGGAAGGGAGAGATGGAGAATTGTTTTGCGTAAAAAGTCATTAAGCAAGAAAGGGTATAGAATAGCTTTTAATATTGTATAAAGCAGAAATAAATCGTTATTTTATCAAACTTTTTTATTAATTTTTTATTAATTTTTTAATGAAAGACGGCGGCTAAGACTGCAGTTGATTTGGACGCTCACGCGCTTTAATCATCATTTTGTCTTTATTATTCATTAAACGTAAAATAAAAATAGATTTACTGAAAAGCGCTGAAAGCATCCAAACCGACCAGCCTAAAACTTGTTGGAAGTCACTCAAGATCATGACTTTAACAACATACGTCATCAGGGGGAGAGTCCCCTGATCTAAAGATTTATCAAAAATGCTAAACGCAAACATTTTTAAGCAATGATTTTCAACTAGTTATATGTAAAATGTATATAATATCATTGCTTTGATGTATAATTTAAAGATTATTTAAGTTGATAGCCTTAAAGATGTCATAAATTGAGAAGAAAAAATATATCTTCACATAAATTTGCTCATCCATTCCGAATTACATAGTAATAACTAAGATTAGAAAAATATCACAGGTAAAATGTGCTCTCACGAATACATACATTTAAAAAGAAGTATAAGATACATCTCAAGTGAAAGAAATGTTTAGATAACATATAAGTGCAAATAGATTCCTGAAAATCTTATATCCTATGAATACAATTTCTTCTTCAAATTCCTTCGAAGCTTACTTTTAAAATACTGTTCATTAGGAACAATAATTAAATACGATTAAATACATTTGTTTATATATATTAAGATTAACATTTAGATTAATACCTGTACGTTAAGATTAACATTCATCATAAATTGTGAGGTACATTCGATAATTGCTTTATTTTAATAAAGTAGGACAAGGTGGGGTAAGACGGATTGCGGGGTAAAATGATTAATTTACTAAATTCAGTGTTGTCACAGAAAATGAACTTTAAAATTCCCTGACTTTTCCAGATTTTCCAAATAAAAACGGGAAATTTCCATGACCAATATAAAATATGTAAAAATTTTATAAAAATATTATAAAAATATATAAAAAATTTTAACACTTAGAATTAAGGATTATAAGAAAGCTTATATTTTTTAAAAGAAATAGAAGCTTAGTAACATAACAAAATTTGGGGGCAAATTCAAGCCAACAAAAAATAAATTAGTTTTTTGAAAAAAAGAATGATGAAAGTTATGATGAAAAAGGACGCTCAAATAAAATTACTTAATAAAATATAAATTTTAATTATTTTTAAAAAATCATTTAAAGTGCACGAGTTTTTAACGTATTTGATTATAAATGTCAGATATAATATTTAAAAAATTATAAAAATTATTTAGAATAGAAACAGTTTAAGGAAATTATGAACAAAGTTCAAAATTCCAATCTCTTTTACATTTTTCCCTAATTTTTCCCGGTTTTCCATGATCAATTTCAATTTTTTTGACTTTTCTCAGTTTTCCAGGTCTATGACAACCCTAAAATTTTATTAGTGCCTTACCTATAAGGTAAAATGGACCAAAATTAAGTTTTATAAAAATCTTAATAATAATATAACTTTTGCAAGATTTGAAAATTGAATTATGATTTCGTAATGAACACTTTAAAGCTTCATTATGTTAAATTTCATTTGTTTTGTCATTAATAAAAAAAATAGCCATTTCCGCTTAAGAAATCTGTCTTATCTCATCTTTTCCTATATAAAACATACACACATTAGAAAGAAACATTATCATACACATGTGAATTGCACACGATAATATGAGATTGTCAATATTTCATATATTATAATAATCTTACTGCAGAAGTATCTGAAGAGTACACAAGATAACATTGACACAAGTATATCTACATACATATAAAAAGAGCAGAAGGCAGTTATAAAAATTGACAAGTATTAAATAAACATGAAAATTACAATATATTAACAAAAATCAAATTATATTTAATAGGGCTCTCGAAATTCAAACAATAATAAATATTAATTAGCGGGCAATGAGAGTATACACAGCATGGTACTTGTGTGGAGCGCAATACATAAAATATATTTACTATAATTTTACATTGCTACTTGTTGATAACAAATTTCTTGAACATTTTTGGTTCAAATCATCGTCAGCAATCCATATAATTTCTATGATACAATATCTAATCCGCACATGTTGGAGACAGTCATTGCGTTCGACAGAGGATGAGCATACTTCTACTTCTTAATTGAGAAATGCCATTAATTCTCTTCGTTGGATAATCAAATAAATAATCTCTGTCTTTGCAGATTACAATTCGAAGCGCAACGCATTATGTTACAATATATAATAGAAATAAATTATAGATATATTACTTTAAATTATACTTTAAATTATAGATATATTACTTAAAATACTATTTATATAAATCGAAACGTTCAAGAAATTTGATATCAACAAGTACAGTAATGTAAAATTATAGTAAATATTTTATGTATTGCGCTCCAAATACCGTGCTGTGTATGCTCTCATTACAATATATTAGTTTTAAGAAGACATAAAAAATTTAATTTATTATTTTTCTTTTTTTCTAGAAAACTGATTTAATTTTTAAATATTTAATTATCTGCAATGAATTTTTCGTAGCCGCCGTACTTGATTATGTAATTTTAACTGGAGACGAGCAGACTTACGAGAAGATATATTCTTTTTTCCTTTATTGCTTTAATAGGATGTATGTTAATTTTTAACGTTTTTAAAGCTACTGCTGATTTAAATAAATCTTTAAAATATATAAAAACTGTAATAATATTACATACACATTCTGCATAAAACTAGTTTAAAAGTCTTTGTTAAAAAATATTTGCGTTTTTATATGAATAATTTGAAAATTTCTAAAAATATTAGAAATAATATTTAATAATCAAAATTATTTATCAGAGATTAACATTCTGATATCTAATTTTCTTGATATTTTTTTTTGTTAGAAAAATATATCAGGTAAATACCTTTCTTTTTCGATTAACATTATTTTCAATAAAATTTCATAAAATCATACATACTTATGTAGACACATTTAAACAATTGACTAATATATCTTATAGTTTTATTACAGATTGAAAATAGTATGTACAGATTGATATATGTATCTAAAAGAGATATGGAAACTTTCTAGTTTGCAAAGTAAAATCATGAGTACATATATTACAACATAAATCTGAACTATTTGTGATATAAACTTGTGACCTTTAAAGGAGTCTAATAGTGGACTCTAATAGAGACTAATAGTGAAATACTAATAATACTCTAGGTAGGATACTAATAAGATTTACAACGACTTACTTATTTTTGTCTTTTATACAATGTCTTGTATAAAACACTAATTTAAATCAACTTATTTGCAACATTAAAGAAAATTTCTTTACATTCAATGTCTAAAAGGACAAAAGTTCCTATTCTAGAATCACGTATTTTGTACTATATATACAGATATAAATAGAATTGCGCTGAAAATTTGTTAGTGCATAACAAATTCAGCTTCGCTCTTATGTGTAGTTTCTTTATATCGAAAGAAATCATTTCGCATATATTTTAATAAAGAATTTGACATAGGCAAAATGGTTTCCTTCCATACAAAGACTACTCATAAATGTAAAGCTGAATTTATTATACAGTAACAAGTAAAATAGTCTTCTTCCGTGCAGTAACATTAGATGGATTTCAACATTTTCTTCCATTTAATCCCCACAGTGTCATTCGAGAATTATAACGTTTTATAGCAAGAATATACAAACGAAATAAATTCATAGAAAATAGATATTTTCTTGCCCTAAAACGTTAATACAATTAACGAGACAGAGGAATACACTCTCTTCGAGATAACATCTTACATGACCTGAACTCAGTTGTTCAAATCATTTATGGCTTGTAAAATACGTTTCACATGTCCAACCTTTGTAATTCCTAACTCTTTTAGATCTCGACGAGCTAGAGTTAATAGTTCTCTACCTCGTATATCATGAGCAACGAATTTCTCCGTATATTCTGCCAGTCGCAGATTTTCCAACCACGCACAGACCTCCGGAACTCCCCAAGTAGTAACCAGATCTCGAGCCGGACCCGCGCTGCCAGCAATGCGACGACACTTCAACCAAAATAACCCTCGATGACGATTTTTTTTATCTCCCTGCAGATCCAGAGTTCGAGATGTCGGTTAGTACACGGTTAGTCAGATTAGTAGTAAAGCGGTATGCTATTTTATACGCATACGTTAGAAACATGCTAATCATATGCAGGTGAAGATTTGCACTCGGGATTATACGTGATAATGGATTCATCAGGCATACAAAATAGCTCTCGAATGGCCTATATGATCGTTTGCGGTAGTGTGATTCAAAGTCGCGCAAATACTGCAGATATGCTTTCGGTATACATTAATGAGACAATATATATGAAACAATATATATAAGATATTCCATTATATATATTTATTGTTATACTTTAGCAAGATTCATATACATTCACTAAAAGATACATCTCTCATAAAATCACGAAAGTTCCCCTCTCATTGTTACAGTGCAACAAACTCTCACGAAATGAGAAACTGGAGGCGCGATAACGAAAGTAAAAGTTAAGTTGCATATAATTCAAGTGCATATTCGGATGTGTTGCGTTGGCTAATGTAACTGAAGATAAGTACAGCGTCGCTAAATATCACACAATATATGTTTGTCTCACTGTGGACCACTGTGTATAGTAGAGCCGCAAGCGAGAATAAACAAATAAAAGACAATCTAAATGGCAATTCCATCTCTCAGCAGATGTAATACATGCACACACGCACATACATACAAACGTATACAAAAATAATCAGCATCATGTTCCGCAAAACTAAGTCTCTAAAATGCTAATTCTATTTCTCTAATGTCATAAGCATTAATACTTAAAAGCATATTACCAGCACTGGGATTGAGCACTCAATCAATCCGAAACAAAGCATAGGATAATGTATTAATTATCATTTGAAAACAACATTTACGCATAATGAATTGTAAACTTTTCTCAAAAAAGATTGTAAATTTTCGTGTAAAATATGTATGTAAAGAGAGGTGCTTTCATAATATTACATAATATTTTTGTGTTATCCAACTAATTAACTAGCATTTCTCAAAACTTATTTACAAGAATAGTATTCTATATAATCTTCTTTTGGAATGTATTGGCAAGATGGAATATCGAATACCAATAGAATAAGATAATGGAAAACTTTAGCGTTAATTTTATCATCAATATATTTCACTTGATTTTAATAATCTTGTGGAAAACTATGGATATACAACTATAAATATAGAACAGATAAATTAATTGTACCTCCCAAAAATTGTACCTCACAAAGAGTCTATATAAATCTAATTCTTTAAATTATGTTTGTGAGCGCAAATACTTGAATATTTATAAAATCAATTTTTTGTATATTAAGTATTAAAAATTCAATTAGTATTCCGTTAATTAATTGTATGGTAAATATTACAAAATGTACACTGTGAAAAAAATTTACTAAATTTTAATAAATATTTCTTTGAATATTCCTAGAATATATTTAATAAATTTAAATATGTATTTATTAGATATAAAAATTATTAGTTTGATTCAACTATCATTTTTTTGTCGTTTATATAAATATTTATTTACTGTAAATAAATATTCCACTAGGACCATTCAAAGTAATATTTATTAAAATTAATTTAAATAAATTTTTTCTCAGTGTATATGTAAACTTTATCACAATGCAAAATACATGACAAAAATGTAAAAATAGTTAATTTCATAACTCGTCTCTTTAAATAATTGACTTTAAGCAGCATTGCATTAAACATTATAAGAAAGAACTATACCTGATCATCTGCGGGAATATTTTGCAAATAAACCAGCCCTGTGCCTCCTTCATCAAAGGTACATTTTCGTAATTGCTGTTCCATTTGAGCTAGAGATACAGATAACTTGTTTTCTAAATCTTCTCGTAATTTCTACGTTAAAGAAATAATTGTTAGTTTAATCATTGCGTTAATATTTTACAGTCACAACATTTGCTCCGCTCACCAAATTATGTGCTTTATCGCGCAGTAATTCACAAGATTCTTCATACAATTGCCGTGCGCTTGATACCAATTCAGTTACCATGGGTCTCAGGCTTACCTATATTAACAAATTGAAAAAGTTAAAAAAGTAAGTAGATTATTGTGATAAATTTCTAACTAATTCCCTAATTCAAACTTACCCCTTGTAAGATTTTACCATTGGGATGTACTTGTTCAAGCGCGTATGCTGTTCGCGAGGCTACTTGGTACAGATCTCTTTCCAGAGTCGGATGGGATATAATCAGCAGTTTTACCCACTTGACCAAGGTCGTTACAGTTTCAATAAAACTTAATAAGATATTTAATTCTTCATCGTTCAACTGAGGAGGCTTATTGCAAAGTTGCAATTGTGGTCTGGATTGCGATGCATTATTTATAGAAGAAGATTGAGCGCTTAATGTACTGCGCTGTTTCTCTTCCCACGTTTTCAATGAGGTTTCAAGTGCCTAAGACGAAAAATATTTTCGATTACATAAATTAAAATTATTTTTTCTATTAAAAAATCACGACAAATACTAGGATTCATAAACTCCTATTGTTCTATTAGTTGTTTGCAGCATTGTAAATTTTTAATAACTAGTAACTATCTTGCACAATAACTGCCTTGTGACTCAAGTCTTAAAGATGTACATATGAGATGTCACATTTCGTTTTTATTTGTTATTAAAAATCCACAATGCTGTAGACTAAGCTGGCAAAACAACAAAGGAGTTTGCGAGTCCTGATAGATACTTACCCTATTTCTATAAAGCATCTGCATGCGATTCTTGTGTATAATTTTTATAACACCAGGTGGTTGAATCCAAGCCTCCCCATCGACTTGTATAGGAACACCTTCTTCTCCTAAGATATTAATTTGGATTGTTTGGCACTGAGCTATCCTGTGATGCTGCAAATTTATGAGCCGCGAAGCAGCCATTTGAACAGATCCGAAGACCGCAACTACTTCCAATATACGGTCGTCGAATGATGGTGCCAAGAATAGATCCCCTTCCTTTGTACCTCCCCAAAAGTTTGTACCGCCCATAAAACTGTTATTAGAGAATAAAACTTTGCTTTTAAAACTTTAACTTAGATCATTAAAAATCATATATAGATATATTTATTATCACAAGTACCTCGGTATATTTAATACAACAATTCCTTGCAAGGACGGCAATGGTATCCTTTGACCGTCGCACTCCAATTGAACTCTCTGCTCAAGATTTTTATAAGTTTTCTGTATCCACTCTTTAGAGCCCAAAACACCGTACCACATATAATTCTTAGCACGCGAGCGACATTTCTCAGGATGCTCTTCTCTCTTATTGTGAAAATCGAGACTAATCTTTGCGTCTATGCCAATACCAAAGTAATTGTTCATGACACATCGTTCAAAGTAGCCTTCCCTGCAATAGAAAAAAAGTTCGTGATATCTATATATACGTCAAATGTATTAATTACATAATGATATCAGATATATATGAATTACATCAATGTTTCATCTGGATCCATTAATGGCGATACCGGTGCACATAGAGCGTCTGCATTTGCCAATAAAACTTGACTGATGAGACCAGCTCCTCCACTTACATCTGTATTTACAAAAAAAAACGTAAATAATTATATAAAATAAGAAAGACAACATTTTTACTCACTTGGCCACATAGGCAATCGAACTAAAGGATTTATTATAGGAAGTTTTTTCACGTCCTCCGTTTTATCTACAGATTTTGCTCTTTCGTGGCGCAAGCTCATGCTCGAGCCACCTAAACGAGCGGTAGTTGCCATCAACGACACAACTTCTGATGCCTTTAACAAACTTCCGCTGCTTATGCGACGTGTAGCTTGTGGAGAGAAGCCTGAGTTAGGTAACTCCACGCTTACTGCATTATTAGAAAAATTATTAAAATATATGCATATATAATTTAATTGTAATAATTTTTTAATAATTAATTGATCAAACTTACGTCTTTCCATACTATTGCCACTGTATTGCTTATCATGTGGATCCAATTTGTAATCTAAATTAAATTTGTGATGACTCTCAATTGACAACGATGGACTTGGTGGATCAACGATAACACTAATCTGTGGCGGAAAATTTGTAGAACACTTTTCGTTGGTATTGTCCGGAACGGGAAAACAGCATACTGGTCTCAACAAATCGGAAGTTTTTTCCTTTTCAATGGTTTCAAATGTAGTCTCAAGTACAACGTTTGCCTCCACAGATTGCGGCGACTTAATTCCTGAGACACGGACGCATGTTGTTAAACCCTCCGTTTTATATTTACTTAGCATTCCCTGATAACAGAAGACACAGTTAATTTTATATATTATACACATATACATAAAATTAATTTATATAAATAAAACAGTTTCACATATTTAATTTTAAAAAATCGAAATATTTATTTACCTCTTTATCCGTCTTTATATTTTTTCTGCCTTTTTTAAATGAGTATCTTCCAATGTCATTCCCTTCGCTGAATTGGGCTAAGCCGCAATATCTATGCGATTCCTCGAATTCTAAGCCTTCACTGACAGAATCATACCCCATTATCACATCACCCATAATAACATCCTGTCTGAGGGAGCTCAAATCTTCCAAACCGCTTTCCGAGTGTTGAATTTCACTGGAAAGCATATCGGAATTATCCGGCGAGTCGTAGTGCCCTATCTCCGCGTTTTCCCATTTTCTCATAGAATCAAATATATCGCTGTCTTTATGTTCTGAAAAGTGTCAGAGAAATTATCTAATAACAAGATAAGAAATACATATAAAGTGATACTTTTACGATACTTGCCACATTGGTAAGTATTTACTTACCGACTTCACTCAATGTGCTATTTCGCACAGTGTAACTCCTGGAATCAAAAGTTTCGGAAACCATGCTATCTGTACTATTGGTACAGCTACTTCTAGTTTCTAATTTGACAATCGCGGGTTTTTGCACGTGTTCTGGCGAAATGTTTTTAGAATGAAACGAATCCATGTCAAGAGATACGACTGTAGTCGCATCATCTGATGGTGTACTTGTGTCTAAAGTAATTTTTGTCACAGTTATTGGAACGTCAGAGGAAGCTTCTATTTGTGTCGGTTCGGACAATAAAAAATTATCATTAATAGCTGCTTGAATTTCTTGACCGCTGACAGTTTGCCCTGCGGGCATGTCAAAATTGAGAACTCTAAAAATTACATCGAGTTACGTGAACTTGTAGAATGCAAATATTGACAATATACTATTGAGTTCATGTTGAAAATTACCCTTGTGGTATGTTTTCGCTGTTTCGTCTACTGTCGGCAAAACTATCGGGTGCAGGAAGTGTCAATAATTCTTCAGGTTGCGAATCTCTCCTTAAATCCGGCATTGGGCTCAGGGATGCCACATTAGGAGTAGGACTTGGGCAAAAGATCTCTATGTTGGATTCTACAATTGGTAGACATATAGCCTGATCTGTTTGCGATCAGGCCAATATAAGTTTATTGATAAATCATGTTCAATTGCTGCTTTTCCAAAGTTATCCATAATATGATACGAGAAAAACAAATATGAAAATCAGTTTTATCGTTGTAGATATAAAGAAATTCAATAATTATTCAATAATTTTCCAATAAATACAATTACAAGTTTAATCTTACTTGTCATAGTATTTGGAGAACTATCGAATACTTTTGCGATATTTGACATCTTACTGTTTTGTTTCTCGTCCGAAGAATTGTTCTGCTCGTCGACAGGTGTTTCCGCATGTTCCACTAATTTTCTGACAGCCTTTTTCAAGCTATTTACTCTGTAAACATCATTAAAACATACATCTCACTGTCTATATTTATAATACAATGTATATCAATATATGAATATATGCTATACCTGGACATTACAATATCTTTCTCCATATAACATGTTCTTTTAATTTTTTTTAAATTCGTCATTTCTTTTTCTGGCTTTTCTAAAACACCTTTCTCTTGGATGCTGCTAAAAGTATCAGTTTTTAAAGTGCCAATGTCAATGTCTTCCGTATTATCGGAGAAATAGCTTTCTTCTTTTGATAATGTTTGCAACAATAGGTCAAGTTTTTGTTGAAGTATTGTACATTTTTCTCCCAATTGTTGGTCCCCTGTATTTAGACTGGCTTCTAATATATATGTTTCAAAATCTTTTACTGTTGTACATAAAACTCTGTAAGAAAAAAACTCTTGTTTTAAATGCTAAAACTTAAATCTCATGCAAATTCATAGAAGGTGTCTCGAAATCCCAGAAGAATATTATTGCATTGTAAAACTTTGCGAATAGTTAAGTAATAAAAGTGTAAATCAAAACGAAAGCCTTAAAAAGAAGCCTTTGAGAATCAACACAGATTGTAAGTGTGTAATTATATATACTTTATTATAAGAAATAAATATACGTTTGGATCCTCTTCAGTAAATAAATGTATAAATAAATAAATTTAATAAAAGTAAGCCATTTTTTTCCGTTAGGTAGTTTTTTAAATACGAACTTTTAAAGTTTTTTTTAGATTAATCATAAGTGTTGCCTTCGAAGTCATCTGTTCGTGTGACATACGTGTAATTAAATACTAAACGAAATATTGTATGCACACAATCATACGGATAGATGACTTCTTGACCAATGTTAATGATAGTCAAACTTTTAATATTTATATATACTTAAAAAAACTATTTTACAGAAAAAATTGATTTTACATTTTTATTATTTAATTTTTCATGAAAATTTCACGCTGCAATAATATTATCTTCGAATTTATATATTTTTTATTTTTCTTTT